GGGGGTAAATAGCCAGCACGACACCTCTTTAACACGAGTGTGCCATGCTACAACACCATGTACACTCTATGGCGAGTGTGTTAACAGGGTGCTTACACACGCGCATGGCCCACCAGCCACCTGGGTTCAAACCCCAGCAACAGCAGTCGCATCCCGAATCTTGATAATATAAATCAGAGAGCGGGGCGGAGCGGGGCAGGGCAGCGTGGGCGCGTGGCGCGCGCGCGCATGCGGCGGCCTTGGCCTTGGTGCTTGCGCGCACGCGCTCGTGGTGGCACCTCCCTTTTTCGCCACGTGCCACCTGCAGCATGCGCCACTTTTCTCCCTCGTTTTCGCTGCGAAATACCCGAAAAACACCGAAAAAAACCATTGTCGGGTTTTGCTGCTTTTCCGCCTGTGCGGGCTGCTGCCCAGCTGTATGGGGTGGTGGGAGGGAGCGGGGACCGTTCCCGCTCCGATACCAATGTAGCGGACCCACCGGGTATGGTGCTCCACTAGTGGTAAATATGGAGATGGAGGAAGAAGGGGGAGCAAGATGACGCACAGCGCAGCTCCCACGCATGACTCCAACGCACGTACTCCAGAAATGTGCAAGTGAAGAATGAGTGTGAAAACAGACAATGGCTGGGGTATACCCTAGCGGACTGACGGGACTGGATTGGACTGGCTGGTACCGACAGAGGTACCGGCCTGGATTGGCCTACCCCGAATACAACACAAGCCTGTGAGAACAGGCCAAGGGGCTGGTCTCACAGGCCAACCCGAGGTCCGCTACAGTCGTCCGCTGCTACCGGATCTGCTGGACTGAGTAGCTGCGCACCAACTGTCCACTAATGCATCTAGAATGAACTTGGATTGCAGGTTTTGCCTGGAAGGCAGTTTCTCTTTGACCTGCAGTGGTATCAGCGCTGAGACTTCCTCTGACACCGCTATTGCCTCCAGCTCATGACTATTCTCCTCCCTCACCGCCTCCAAGTTGAACCATTTAGCCCCTGCCTGGGTCATAGCTTCTGCAGTAGCGGTGTCCAACCTGGCGTCCAAGATAGGAAAATAAAATTTCAAGATTCTTTCCTCCAGTGGTACCACACAACTTGCCATCACTGATCGTGGGATGATCCTAATTGGAAATACATCCCCAAAGAGGAACTTCGTTCGGGTCACAATCTCCCCTGGTAGTGGCGACTTTGTCGTAGCCACAGATGGTAAGTATGGCCGCCCGTTCGCCTGAGTCAACCCCAGGAAGAAAGGAGAGCTGCCTGCCATTGCACAGATTAGTGGGACCATCCTCCTTTCAATTGGTCTTGGATCCCGTCTCTGTTGGGACCTATATTCTCGTTTACTCGATGTGTCCGAATCTCCCTCTCCCCGTGCCCATGCAGCTCCTAAACTTCCCGTTGAGGATTCTGAGACCTCTGCCTGTAGGAATACTGTGCCCCCCAGTGAACGGTCGTCTCCAACAAACTCACTTCCCATCTCCACCCTCGATCTTGAGGAGGAGGACAGGCCAGATTGGTTCCCCCTCCAATCACCTTGCGCATTTCCCTGGTCCTCTTCCCTTATCGTAATTGGAATTCTTGTCGGTTTTGCACTTTGTCCTCTCCTCGCCCTCTGCACCCTGGGGTCTCGAAGTCTCGATCCTCCCTGTCCTTCTGAGTGCCTGTCCCACTGCTGGGGTGTATAATGGCCTCCTTCCCCCCTTATGGCCAACGTTGGTTGATCATGCACTTGTACCGCCCTTATCGGTAGTGGTTGAAATACTGTCTGGTATGCATGTACCATCTGGCAACCTTGTACTCTGCATCCACCTTGAGACTGATGAACATCCCCCATTAGTACCGACTGACCCGCATGGGGGTACGGTGACTGTAATCCCGGACCCACTGGTCCTGTAGGCTGATTCGCCCAACGTGTCAGAAGTGAGCTCCCTGGAGGTGGATGGTTTACAGGAGCGTAGTGACCATACTCTGTTCCATTGGGGTATATCGCCTGACCCATTCCTCCCTGCTGTACTGCTGGGTGACACTGTGACCCCCAACCTCCCCCTTGCGGGCCGAAGTTGTTTTTCGGTCCCTGCTGCTGCTCATGCGATCTCTCGACCGGCCTTCCCAAAGAACCACTCTGTTGAGGAGGGTGGACCCTTGTCTGTGACTGCAGATGAGCTGGAGGTAACCCGCTTCGACTCGGCTCCGCTTGTTGCTGCACTTCACCCTGTCCTTGAACTTGACTCTGTGGGTGTCTCCCTTGAGGTTGCTGCGGTGGAAGGCGAGAGTTCGACCAACTGCATCTAGGGCCCGCCGCCGATTGTCTCGGACAATCTTCTTTTGTGTGGAAGTACCAGCGGCACTTCCTGCACCAGTCCGAATATGGAGTAGCCAATTCCACGGTCCAGAGTTCTCCTTTAGGTGACTCAATTGTTAGAGAATCCTCAACCCGAAACTGAGCCTGTGGATCTGTCGGCTTCTGGTGGGTGCATAAGCTTCACACCTCCAATTAACCCTTGCACCGCCGAAGGGAGATAACACATAGCGTCCAGAGGAACTCCAGCTTCGTCATCCATGGTTTTACCAGCACCGAATACTCCACTCCCCTCAAATTCAACTTGATCGTCCTCTTCTGGATTAGCCAATTAGCCACTTCCACTGCTTTTGCCACGTAAGAGACCACGTTCGGGCTTTCAAATTTGACTCTACCCCTTCTCACACTCGGATCGAACAGACGTCTGGCCATCCAACCATCTTCATGCGCCCTAATTAGATCTTCTTTAACACTTCTGTTAAGATCTCGGGCAACATCCTGGAAAATAAAGATGACCGTTCGCTCCTTCAACCATCGCTCCTTGATCGCATCGAAGGACTCGTTTACTTTGAAGCGCTTCCCTCTCTCATCGATCACTACCTCTCCCACGTTATCTACTAAATGGACCACCCCCTCGTCATAGCATTGACCAATCGATTGTCTTGTTCTATCCTCCATGGTCCAAAAATTTGTTTCCGACGGTCGAGGAGGGGGAGATCTCCTCTCTCTCCCTCCCTCTGCTGCACCCTCCCCATTCATTCTCAGAGCTCGCCCCCTTCTCTTAAATTAAATAATTTTGTGCTCACCTCCGATCCGGAACCTAGTTCCTAGTCAACGCTAGAATAAACTGGACGTCAGTCTCTCTCCGTTTCCAGTGGGGATAAGCCGCCCCCGGACTCCGGGCGCAGGTCTTGGTCCCCTCTTTCCCTTATTAATCACGTCCTGCTTCTTTTAATCACCCTTGGAATTAGAGAATGCCATGTCCTTTTAGTGCAGTGTTGACCACCACGGTTTGAGGGAGATACCTCCTAGACGCTCCTCAAGCAGGGTGAGTGGGCCCTGGGACTATGGGCAACCGCCCATCACTGTCCTTCAGCCGGTTGCCTTCCCATCTCCAACATATGCCGTAGACCATATGGGGCCACTCTCCCTTGCCCTGTACCCGGCGTCTTCACCGGGTTGATACCTCGGAATTGCCGAACTAGGAGGAGCGTGGCGATCCCCTGTGGCCCCAGAGCCTTCTGATTCTCATTGCCCCTTCTCCAAGAGACCCGACACCTCCCACTCACTTCTCTTTCGATCTTCCACCCTTCTCCTCATGGTTTTCTTCTTGAGTAACTCACTACTGATGAACTATCCGAATTTCCACAGAAGTATCATGCAACTTCTCCACCTATTCTACTCACACCTCTATCCTTTGAGGTTTAACCTCTGCTCGATATCCACTGGACGCGAAGGCTTCCTCTACAGGACTCAATTCCAACATAGTAGGCACTCACGGAGAGTGAGCTTGAAGAGTCCTTCGCTTCCCGTCGCGATGGCGGGGTTGGCGAAGAGGTAGGGTACGGATATGACCAAAAGAAACTCCATAGCCCCGTCTACCCGTACCAGCGCCGGTTCGGAGCGGCGTACTTTGGCGCAAAAATTAGCGCAGCCGCGGCACCCCTAGTACGAGCATTTTTTCGCCCCCCCTTTTTTCTCAATGAGAATTGAATGTGTTCCTTAAAAAAAAAAAAAAAAGAATGCAAAGGGAGGATATTGGCGCCGTGTCAATTGAAAATACGGAGGTGAATGGGTTACCTCATCGGCCGGTCAGACGCGCATGGGTCCTTTTTTTTTTTTTTTTTTTTTTTTTTTTGAGGGAAAAGCCTGTTATATATATCAAGGAAAACGAGGGCCGGGAAAACCCTCACAAACAACCCGGTGAAAGAAGAAAAAAAAAAACTGGGGACATTACCCAGCTTAGGCTGCTGAAAACCGGGTCCAGTTTTCCTTGACTTCAGATCCCTCAAAATAAAAAAAGGGGCTTAACGTGCCTCGAATTGCTACTGTGCATCTATCCTCAAGTTTCCCGAAGTTTCCCGAAGTCCGAGTGTTGTCTTTTGCCTGCCCGTGACTTTTGTTGGGAGGTGCGTGGGCCCTGACAGGGCGCTTTCTTTCCATATAGGTGCCTGGTGTGTTTCCACATCTTCCGCGCTCGTTCCAGCCGCTTCCGCTGCTCTTGCGCCCTTGCCCCGTCCTGCCCTGTCCTCCTTCGGGTTCCTGTTCGGTTCCTGTTCCGTGTTTGGCTGAACAGTATGCCGGCCACAATCCCGTCCTGATGCAGACAGTTCATGAGGCGAAAGGCAACACAACAGTTTGCATGAACCCGGACGCAATACTGCACATGATTCATTACGGAAGTGTTGTATGGCCAAGCTTGGATATGAACGCTCGAGCAACCGGTAGGAGCTACTGGGCAAAGCCAAACCACTACTGCAGACGGCTGGTAGCATAGGCGCTATGCATGGCCATGAACTGCGGGCATAGCCACATCACTCTCCAAGTGTGCAATACAGAGAATGAACTTCCCCACAGAACATGACCAGATGCACCAGCCACTTTCTTGTCTCTTTGTCTCTTTTGCATTTCCGCACCGGTGAGGGCTGGTAGCGTCGGCATGGACTGCGGGCATCCCCTGAGCACTCTCGAAGTGTGCAATACAGAGAATGAACTTCCCCCTACAACATAGCCAGATGCACCCTCTCTTTTGCATTCCCGCACGGGTGAGGGCTACCGGTAGTAGCATCGGCGCTATGCTTGGCCATGGACTGCGGGCATCGCCACAGCACCGAGATTCACACAACGCGCAAGTACCCACGTTTGAAGTACCCACGTTTGAAGTTATGCCCGTTCGCGAAAAGTGAGAGCCAAAAAAAAAAAAAAACCAGAAAACCAGGTGAGGGAAAAAGGGTGGGCGCAGTGTGACTGGCGACTTCCCAAGATCCACACTGCGATCCCGAACGCGACCGTGAAATGGTAGATTTGGGGGTACCGCCGTGTGAGCGTGCCCTTATTTCTGTGGGCATGGGCCCCACCGTCCACACGGCGGGCCCTTGCTAGTATAAATTTCTACTCTTTCCAAAAAAAGAAAAAAGTATCTGACCGCAAGTACAGCCCTGACGGAAGATCAGACTTCTCTCTTCTTTTCGGGAAGAACCAAAAAGAACCGCCTTGGGCGGACGGGCCGGCCCCCTGAGGAACCAAAAAGTGATTTTGGATCCCACTTGGCCGACAATAGCGGGACTCTTACGATTTCGGAGGCCGCCCAAGGGGAAACGAATGTGCTGTCGCACAGAGGAAAGGACCCACGTAGCCCACCGGATGTTGAAAAAAACATAAAAAATGCCGGCCTTCTTTTCAGGAGCAGGACGACCATCCTCTTCGTTTGGTTTTTGGTAGAACTACTGCAGCCTGAGTCGCGGACAAACTGCCACATAGACATTTGTTTCCACTCCCCTCCGAGACCAACGCGGGAAGAAGTGGGATTCCAGAAAATGCCACCTCTCCCCAAAACGAAGAGTAGTCGGATCAGCCCCTAACGTCGAGAGCCATGCGTCCCCTGAGTTCCCCCGACGATACCGAAAACCATGTCTTCCACAGACAGCAAGCTCTAGGCCGTGCATGGGCACTACTGACCGAAGATTGCGTGCTTCGCGCCTGAAGTCTGTATTCCACAACAAGAGACCAGAGAATCGAGAGTGATGTTCTGGGACGCTGGACCCGTTTTCCAGCAGGTGCTGCTCCCCACCAATAGATGGAGCCTCCTCGGGAGTGCTAGTGGTGCCTGCTCTTATCAGCACCCCTAGACATGGCCGGGGAAGTCTTTCAAAAAAAAAAAAACAAAGAAAAAAGAATCGAGAGTGGGACTCCTAGAAGAGACCAGAGAATCGAGACCGGGACTTGTAGGAGAGACCAGCGAATCGAGAGGGGGTCTTCTAGCAGAGTGGGTCTTCTACCAGGGACCAGAGAATCGAGAGTGGGTCGAGAGTTGTTTCTTCGTTCGTTTTCGTGGGGGGCAAAGAAAAGTAGTGCCTTTTTCCCTTCCCCCCCCCCCTCAAGCCCCCCTCTTTCGTTGGTGTAGTCTCTGGTCTTGCTTTTTTTCATATCGGCTATGGAGATCCGGTGGGGGTTCGAAGAAGCAGCAGCAGAAGAAGAAGCAAGTGCACGGGGCTCTTTCTTTCCAGCGGACCATGGGTTTTTCATCGCGTCTTGGTCTTTCAAATGTTCTCCAGCTGTCCGGTGACTGAACCTGTCCGTTGATTGGGTCCTGGCCGATTGAACCTTTCTATCGACGAAATGCTGCAGTTTTCCTTTTTCAGCTTCTGGTCTTCCCCCCCCCTCCTCCCTCCCCTACCCTTCTGGGTGAAAGAGAAAACTGATCTAGTTACTGCCGGGTGTAGTTGACTGATTGGATCATCGCTTGATTGATCGATTGATTGATTGATCGATTGATTGATTGATCGATTGATTGGTTGATTGGATGATTGGTTGATTGGTTGATTGGTTGGTTGGTTGGTTGGTTGCTTGATTGGGGAAAAAAGAAGGAAGGAAAAGCAATGGCGACACACTTGATCTTGAACACGACAATAATTGAAAACGGAGGACATTCCCCGTTTTCCGTGTACTGAGAACGCGTTGGTTGATTGGTTGGATCGCTTGATTGATTGACTGATGGACTGATTGATTGATTGACTGATGGATTGATTGATTGACTGATGTATTGTTGGATTGATGGACCGATTCTGTATATAATCATGAGCAGGTGTACGACCCACTGCTGTGGTAGCCTGGGCGAGGCGTGCGAGGAAGTGATTCGTCGTCTTATATCCCGTTATGTCACGCTCTAATTGATGGATTGGTTAGAAAAGGAGGAAAACAAACAAACAAAAAAAGCCGCCCACTCTATGTCTGAAGTGTCCTGGCCGTCCGATCCTCGAGTAAAGGGAGCGTTTGTAGTAAGATCGTTGATAGAATCCATCCTTTTTTTTTTTTTTTTTCTGAAATCCATCCTATTGATCGTCTGAACAGTTTGGGAAAAATCCCGTTTTGGTAGTATCGATGCCTCGTCAAACTGCGCCGTGGTCATTTTCTCCCCGCTCTTCTCGAGTAAAGGGAGCGTTTGTAGTAAGATCGTTGATAGAATCCATCCTTTTTTTTTTTTTTTTTCTGAAATCCATCCTATTGATCATCTGAATAGTTTGGGAAAAATCCCGTTTTGGTAGTATCGATGCCTCGTCAAACTGCCACGTGGTCATTTTCTTCCCCCCGCTCTTCCACCTTCGAGCTGAGGTGGCCGTCTCGGGATCCCGCTCTTGGAGAATCATTGTCCGGACACGCTCCACAGACCACGGGCAACTTGCCGTCGATACCGTCATCATGGTGGTGGTGGAGATGGTGGTGCTGGGTTTCAATGGCCACTTGCCACGTGGCAGTTCTAGATAGATAGATTCTCTGCCGATTGCAGACGTACGTTTCCCCTCGTTGATTGATTGACCAATCCACAAAATGAACGTGACACAACGATACGAAACAACCTTCAAGGGGCTGCTGTTGTTGATTGCTTCGTCCGACCTGCAGCGCTTTCCTCTTCGGCTGGTTGATTGATTGATTCCTGTTCGATCGATCGATCGATCGATCGATCGATTAATTGATTGATTGATTGATTGATTGCTTGCTGGATTGATTGATTGGTATAGATAAATAAATAGATAGATAGATAGATAGATAGATAGATAGATGGATAGATAGATAGATAGATAGAGAGAGAGAGAGAGAGAGAGAGAGAGAGAGAGAGAGAGAGAGAGAGAGAGAGAGAGAGAGAGAGAGAGAAAGAAAAGCAGGCAAAAGAAGAGGAGAGAAGACAAGGTAACAGAGACAGGCAAAAGGTGGTAAGGCAGACGTAGAAGATGTCGGTGGTGTTGGAGATGGCGCTTTCGTCTCTCACGCAGATGGCTGTCGAGCAATTGATAATGAGTGTGCTGGGCGCTGGGAATAAGTTTTTCCTCATCAACAAAAGTTGTAAGCATCTTGCAGACAGCGTCCGACTTCTGCTGCCGATGATTAACGAGCTGAAGACAGCGGCCATGTCGGAGCCGGTGGAGGAGTACATCCTTGAAGTCCATCACGCTCTGGAAAATGCACGCAACGCGGTGGAGGAGGTGAATCGGTTGAAAGGCAAGCTGCTGGGGCCCATAAAAGCACTGAGGCTGATTTCCGAAGCGACGGAGAAAGTCCAACGAGTCCTTAGTCTCTCGCCTCTCCCCAGCATGGCACTCACGCACAGGGGGTTGACGAGTGTCTTCTCCGCCCAGGAAGAGACGCAGAAAACCTTGCTGAAAATGAACGAGAAGCTGAGCAACCTGGGAGAAGCATTGCAGGAGATGTTCGCCTTACCCAAGTACAAGGACCCTTCACTCTACACCAAGACCTTCAGGGACAACCTCCACGCCGTCGAGCTTATCCGGGAGCTAACTCAGGAGCTAACTCACGAGCTAACTCAGGAGCTGACTCAGGAGGAGGAGATCGGCGACCAGCGTTACGACACAATAACTTATCCTCAAGACGGAGGTGGAGGTGGAGGTGGAGGTGGAGGAGCTGGAGAGAAGCATCCGATGCCCAGCGAGGTTTATTGTTGTACGAGGGGTATTCCCACTACTACTACTACTACTACTAGGAGTAGTAGTTATACGAATGGACGTCGGAGTTCCGGCGGGAACCGGACGGTACTGGACGAAATGACAGAGGAGGAGAGTCCCTCGACTCGTTCAATGTGTCGTTCGGCAAGTGTTCGATGCCATGAGAATGAGAGGTGTTTAGATGAACTTGTTGGGCTGGATTTTCACATCCACGAGGTTAGTAGGAAGCTGATCAACGTCGAACGATTGGAGAGTCAGGACAGTGTCATGTCATATGCGACGGCAACGGTGGGAGCGACGGGAGCAGGGGTGGGAAGGAGACCGGGCGGGAGCGGGAGTTCAGCGGGTGGAAACAGGAGTCAAGCATGGCAAG